TCTTATCTTATCATATTTCTATTATCAAAGTGTCTAGTGCGTTATCTTGATTTTAAAATGCAAATCACGTACCAATCAATCGATTTATTTATTCTTTTGTCAATCGAAAGTGTCGATACAAAATGAAATGCAAAAATTACTCAAACATTTTCTTAACAAATCATTCCGGAATAATAAATAATTCTAACGTGACAAAGAGAAAATAGACAGACTTAAATTAGACAACAAAATTATTGTTGGATTATTTTTTAAACTTAAAAAATGCTTTATGATGAAAAATGTTCAATGTTTCATATACCAAATTTAATTATTATTTACAAAAATATAAATAATGAATTCCCATCACGTCACAATTTCAATTCACTTTCTTCACACTAGGATTGTTTGTATTAAAATTTAATTCTGATCACGTTTTTGGATCGGCTCGTTTGTTTATTCTCGATTAGTATTGTATAGAAAGCCTTTCTTAAATTCCAATTTAAATATTTCTCATTCATATCCCTACTCATTCAATCTCCTGTCCTTTTTTTGACATAATATGAACGGATCTTGCATAATTTTGCATGACTAAATAATAATAATTATGCAAAACAGGCGCGACTTTGTAAAGAATTTTAAAGGCACTCTCTAGTTAAAAACTACGTATTACTAGTATTATTATTAATATTAGTAAAATTAAATTTAGTTTGTTAAATATTAATATCTAATATTTTAGTTAAAACGACTTTGAATTCGATATTTCATTCTTAAGCAATAAATATAGAAAATTCGGGACATTTTTTTGGTTTTTGCCAAATAACTCAAAAATTTCATATGGAACCACACCTTTTCAGTTAGATAGGGTGAAATGAGATACAATTTACAACATTTTATAGGGAACACTTTTATACACTCCGATATAAAGGTTTTGACTAAAGCAAGAAAATATAGAAAATTCTGGACATTTTTTGGTTTTTGTCAAATGACTCACAAAATTTATATTAACAGGTTAAATTTAATAAATAATAAATAAATAATTCATTTATTTATATTTTTTTTCAGAGCACCGGTTTCGGTTTATTCTATCCTGCATCATCAGGAGTACGAAGACAGCCTTTGGTACCAGATGGATACCCATTTCCATGTCCAAAAGAGGCAAAGGTAAAGGACATTAAACTAATCTGTATCTTCTCATCTAAAGTATTTTTTTTTATAGAAAATATCTGCAAAAAGTCGTCCTACAAGTGTCCATCGTCTGAAACCATCTGACATAGAAGTGATTGGTGCTTTGGGAGATTCTTTGGTTGCTGGAAGTGGTGCCATGGAAGAATTTGCTTTAGGGGCTTTTGTTGAACATCGTGGTGTCACTTGGGCAGCAGGTAAAAGACCAGAAAAAATTAGAACTAGTGGTGTACGGCATCGTGCCTTAAGGCAAATTGCTGGAACTTCCCGTACCGTAATGAAATATCCGAGAAATTTTAAACGTTTCCAAATATATTATTACAAATGCTGTAACTTTTATTATTCTTGCTATCTTGTTATATCTGAGCAGATCAAATGTAAATCATAAATCAATTTATCTCCAGAGCATTAACAATCGTCATTTCATTTAGAATTCAATTTAAAAAAAAAATAGTTGCCTAAATTTACAAAAAATTGAAAAAGTGCTCCCTTATAGTCACAGTCTAAACGCATTTGCAAATAATTCTGTGCGACATTTTCACTTATACTGCGCTTAGCTTGGCGGTATTTTCACATTTTTCAATAGTTTTCTCACAAAATTGGAAAAGTGCTCCAGTATATAAACAGTTCAAACGCACTCGGGTAAACATTTGTACCAGAGTGGCGCTTAGACTGTGCTTAGCCTGGGCGATTTTTTGAATTTAATTCATTTTTCAAAAATTTTATAAATAAATTTTGTAATAAATAAATACGTCCTCACTCTTTTGCTTCGCCCTTTAAAAAATATTATAAATAAATTTTGTAAAAAAATATGACCTCACCCTTATGCAAAAATTGTAAGAATCTTCTGGTTAAAATACAAAAAAATTTTTTTTCAAATAAAATTAAAAGTACATTTTGTAAAAAAATATTATAAATCAATTTTTAATGAAATATGACCTCACTCTTATGCTTAAAATTGTAAGAATTCATTTTTAAAAATATATAATATTTTTTTTTAAAATACGACCTCACTTTTCTGCTTAGAATAGAAAAAAATCTTTTTGTTTTTAATATTATAAATAAATAAGTACGTCCTCATTCTTCTGCTTGAAATTGAAAAAAAAATCATTTTTTCATAAATATTAAATAAGTTCGTCCTCACTCTTAAAAAAATATCATAAATAAATTTTGTAAAGTAAATACGTCCTCACTCTTCTGCTTAAAATTGAAAGAATTCATTTTTAAAGAAATATTACAAACAATTTTTTTGTAATATTTTCACATTTTTCAATAGTTATTGGAAAAGTGCTCCAGTACATAAACAGTCTAAACGTACTTGCGAAGACATTTGTACCGGAGTGGCGCTTAGACTGTGCTTAGCCTAGGTAATTTTTTGAATTTTTAATCCAAAATTACAAAAATATTTTATGGAAAATAAAAAAAGATGTAGCAATTTTTTATCGTCAAAAGCAATTGTTTTGTCAATACAAGCAGAAAGTTTTTTAGATCATTCAAATCGGACGCTTAGTTCACTCAAAAACTGCCATTTTTAGCACATTTAGCTCTGTATCTTCGAAATGGCGGGACCTGCCTTTGCCAAAAACTAATCAGCACTAGATCAACAACTGATGACTGATAAAGAACTATTCCTCTAGTTCTACTTTTTTCACCAGCTCCTGAATCAATTACGCTAGTTTTATGACTTCCATATCAATTTAGGATGTTTTTTTTTGTTTTAACCGCTTTGTTCCTATTTTTCCAGGTGGCCAAGGATCCTGGCGTAAATATCTGACCCTCCCAAATATTTTAAAAGAGTTCAATCCACGTCTAATTGGATTTAGTACTGGTCCTGGTGAATTTTTATCCAGGAGAGCAAATTTCAATGTTGCTTTTCCTGTTGCTGCTACTGATGATGCTATCCAGCAAGCAAAGTAAGAAATATTCATATATATATATATATATATATATATATATATATATATATCTCATATATAAAATTCTTCTGTAATGAGATAACGATTATTCGGATTTTCATAAATCTTCCTGAAGTTTGCGAAGGGATTTTTGTAGGATTTTTTGATTTATAGAAATATAGTTACATTGTAGAAATAAATGGAAAAAATTACAAAAAACCGCTTAAAATTCATCAGTAGACTAAAATATTTAAAGAATGTAAAAAATTTGGTAATAAAATTTATACCATAAATAGTTGGAGTAGTCAGACAGAAAATGTTAAAGTATAAATATTAAAATAATAATTTTTGATAAATATTATAATAATTTTATTGGAATTAAAATAGATACTTTAAAGGATAACATATCAAAATTACAAGGCTCGTAACTCAAACCATATATTTTTTAAAAATCGCTAAAAATCAAAATTTTATCTTGTCAAGGTTCCCTAAAAACTAGTATGCTCGATAAAAGTACCTTTTCGAGATTAATGTATATATTTAAAATAGGGGATAAAAATTTAATAATTTTAGTATTTGTTATTAAAATAGATACTTCGAAATATAACATATCAAAATTACAAGCTCGTAACTCAAACCGTATATTTTTTAAAACTTCCTAAAAGTCAAAATTTTATTTCCTCAAAGTACCCTAAAAACTAGTATGCTCGGTACAAGTACTTTTCCGAGATTAATATAAATATTTGGAATTGGGGGTGAAAATTTAATAATTTTAATGTTTGTTATTAAAATAGATACTTTAAAGGATAACATATCAAAATTACAAGGTTCTAACTCAAACGGTGTATTTTTTTTAAATTCCTAAAATCTAAATTTATTTCGTCAAAGTTCCCTAAAAACTATTACGCTCGATAAAAGTACTTTTTCGAGATTAATGTAAATATTTGGAATTGGGGGTGAAAATTTAATAATTTTAATATTTGTTATTAAAATAGATACTTTAAAGGATAACATATCAAAATTACAAGGTTCTAACTCAAACCGTATATTTTTTAAAAATTCCTAAAAATCTAAATTTTATTTCGTCAAAGTTCTATAAAAACTAGTATGCTCGATAAAAGTACTTTTCCGAGATTAATGTAAATATTTAGAATTGGGGGTGAAAATTTAATAATTTTAATATTTGTTATTAAAATAGATACTTCAAAGAATCACATATCAAAATTACAAGATTCTAACTCAAACCGTGTATTTTTTAAAAATTCCTAAATCTAAATGTATTTCATCAAAGTAACCTAAAAACTAGTCTGCTCGATAAAAGTACTTTACCTTTACCAAAAATATTTAGAATTGGGGATGAAATTTTAATAATTTTAATATTTGTTATTAAAATAGACACTTTAAAGGATAACATATTAAAATTAAAAGGTTCTAACTCAAACGGTGTATTTACTAAAAATTCCTGAAAATTTAAATTTATTTCGTCAAAGTTTCCTAAAAATTATTACGCTCGATAAAAGTACTTTTTCGAGATTAATGTAAATATTTGGAATTGCGGGTGAAAATTTAATAATTTTAATATTTTTTTTTAAAATAGATACTTTAAAGGATATCATATCAAAATACGATACGATTATTCGAATTTTCATAAATCTTCCTGAAGTTTGTGAAGGGATTTTTTTAGGATTTTTTGATTTATAGAAATATAGTTACATTGTAGAAATAAATGGAAAACATTACAAAAAACCGTCATTTGCCAAACATTTCCATTTACTTATAGGCTAACACGATATTAAAATATAATATATTTATGATTATGATAAGAAAAATGTAATGTCTACATTATTATTGCCGAAAAGCAGCTGAGATGTGCCAAAAATTAAAATAATATAAGATACATTATACATTTAGCATAGGAACATTTTGCCTATCTATCTATTTTAGATACCTTACGTCCAAAATGAGGAGAACTTTGGGACCAGACAAATTTCAAAGCTCCTGGAAACTGGTGACAGTTTTTTTTGGGGCCAACGACTTGTGTTCGGCCCAATGTTACGACCCAGAGCACAACACGCCTTTGGCCCATGTTCGAAAATTGGCCAAAGCTCTGGACTTTTTGCACAAAAATATGCCTAGGACTTTGGTCAACTTGGTACCAGTTTTAGGTAAATGATAATAGTAAAATAGATTTTGTATATATATATATATATATATATATATATATATATATAAATGAAATTTACGTCGCCTGAGTGTGACGCCACTTTTCGTCGCGAAGTATTTTTGGAAGTATTGTCTCAGGCGTTTTTATTATAACTAATTATATATATTATTTCTTATAATTAGATGTGACAGTATCATTGAGGGTAAAAAGAAGGTCCATGGCCTGCAGGGCCTTACATCCCTTATTTTGTGCCTGTTTACACAGAGGCGAAGGGACTTCTGAACAAATTGCAGAACGTGTTGCTAAAATGGCTAAGGAATTCCAAAAACAAGAAGAAAAATTGGTAAAAAATAATATATATATATATATATATATATATATATATATATATATACTAGCTAATCCGGCAAACATTGTTTTGCCATAAAAAATATGCCTAAAATAATAAAAGTGCTAAAAATCAAATTTTAATAGATTTGGACTCTGATTCTTTGACAAATAGTTAAAAACTTGTTATAATTTTCAAATTTATTTGACATTTCATACTTCAAAAATTAATTCACTCGCATCATAGTTTTTTGTTCATTATACTTTTGTCATGTCATATATGTCAATAAAATTTTCTTTCAAATAGTATTTATTTGTTAATAAATTAATAATTATTTTAAGTCATCAATAAATAATTATATAATTGCTAAATTCATAAGTTTGGCTAAATCAACACAGGAATATTGTGGAAATAAATATTTTTTTACATAAAGATCTGATTGTAGACATTTGCATTTTATTTCAAATTAATTATATCTGTCAAAATATTTTCTTTTCGGTCAAAATTTAATGTAATATGATATAATATTTAGTTTGTCTAGTTTGTTTTTGTCAGATTCCAATGATACCCTCAGATTGTACTATTCCATTTAAGAGGTTACAATTTCCTGTAAGATTAGCATTTGCGATGACAATCAAAATATATCTTAACTGATTTCTTAATAATAATATTATATTTTAATCACACAAATTTTTTTACACTTTGATAAATAATTCCAACGCATCATAGTGTTTTGTTTATTTTAATTTTGACATTTGTCATTTTAGTGTTTTTTTTTTGTCATTCTCTGTCAAAATTTTTAGAAATTTATAAAAATTATATATTTATATTTCAAATTTACTTTTCAAAATTTCCTATAACCTAAGTTGGATATATATGCACACGTTGAGCCAATAAAATTTAAAATCGGTCCAGTAGTTTGGGCGTCCATCGCGAACCAACATCGTGACACGAGATTTATATATATATGTATATATATATATATATATATATATATATATATATATATATATATACATAAGACATTAGAGAATCGTTTTGCAAAATAAAATTCTTGATATTATCAGCCCGATGTACTATAAATAGTCCGAAAAGTTTGATTGTTGAAGTAATAAGTGATTTATGCATTTGTTGTTTATATCTCTCGTAACTTCTAAACCGTTAGTCTAATATAGTTTGTGTATTTGACAAATTTATTCAAAATTAAATTACCAATAACGTTTTCTAACAACAAAATGCCCTACAGCAACTCCGTATACTCATAAACCACAATTAAAAATGTAATAATTTTTTTTCCAGGTAAATAGCGGTCGTTACGATACCCGTGACGACTTCACAGTCGTCCTACAGCCCTTCACCTTGGCCTTCAATGCCTATTTACCAGAATCAATCAAAAACACATCGGATTTAATTGATATTCGTATATTAAAAAATGAAAAACCGAATTTGACCATCTCTGATACCAATTTAGTGGACAACGAGCTGATCACATATGATTGTTTTCATTTTTCGCAGAAGGGACACGCTTTAGGTAAGAAAAAAATTAATATAAATTTATAGTAAGATTTTAGTAGATTGAAATTATTTTTGTATGATTTTTTGGGGTTTTTGAAGTCGTTTTGGAACCCTATTGTTTAGGGTTTGTTCTTAGGTTGATAGGAATAGAGTAGCAAAATATTTGTGTCCAAAAAATTTGAAAAGTGATTTTGTGATTGGAAAAGTTGGTTTTTGAGGGTTTTTTATAAAATGTTAGGATTGCGTTACAAAGTTGTTATTTGGACATGTTATTTTTCAAAGTATCTATTTTAAGGTAGAATTCTAAAATCAACAAATTTTCATCCCCAATTCAAAATATTTATATTTTTCTCAGAAATGTACCTGCAGCTAGCACACTAATTCTTAGTGCCAAAAAAATTAAAAGTTGATTTTGCGGACGACAAAGTTTTATTTATAGATTTTTTATAAAATGTTAGGTTTGTCTTACAAAGTTGTAATTTGGATATGTTATTTTTCAAAGTATCTATTTTAATAACAAATACTAAAATCAACCAATTTTCATCCGCATTTTAATATATTTATATTTTTGTCAGAAAAGTACCCGCAGCTAGCATACAAATTTTTAGTGCAAAAAAATTTAAAAGTTGATTTTTCGGATGGCAAAGTTTTATTTGTAGATTTTTTTTATAAAATGTTAGATTTGTATTACAGGTTTGTTATTTAGGTATATTATTCTCTGATATATCTATTTTGAAGACAAATACTAAATTTGATAAATTTTCATCCCCAATTCGAGATATTTATATTTTTGTCATGAAAGTACCTGCAGCCACCACATTAATTCTTAAAGCTTAAAAAATTAAAAGTTGATTTTGGGGATGGTAAAGTTTAATTTGTAGATTTTTTATAAAATGTTAGGATTGTGTTACAAATTTGTAATTTAGGTATATTATTCTTTAATACATCTATTTTGAAGAAAAATTCTAAAATCAACAAATTTTCATCCCCAATTCGAGGTATTTATATTTTTATCAGAAAAGTACCCGCAGCTAGCACACTAATTCTTAGTGCCAAAAAAATTTTTTTTTTTTTTTTTTTTTTTTAATAATTTTATTTGATCATCTATCTACAGGAGATATAAAATCAATTGCATGGCTTAGAATTTAACAAAGATAGAAAAAGCTAAGATCTGCATCCAGTGATGCGGTTCTTTACAGTGTGATATATAGATGTACAAAACAAAAGAAAAATACAAATTAGTACTTATAATTGAACCTAAAACAAGTCGTTGGGGTAGTTCTTTTTAAGTCTTCTGAATTGGATTGGTTCTAGCAGCTTTCTTGCAAGGTTATTTGGGTGAAAGGTGAGCCTACTACGATACTTTAGACAAAGTCTAGGAATCTCGTCTCTAATGAAAGAGACACCCAGTTCTTCATGGAGTAACCAATTTGGGGTGTATTTAGGTGCATTGGCAATTTGCCTAAGCATTTTATTCTGGAACCTCTGTAAGATCTCTACATTTGAGTGGCTGGCTGTGCCCCAGAGCTGAATCCCATAGGTCCAAATGGGTTTAAGTATTGATTTGTATATCAAAACTTTATTTGACATCGACACTTTGGATTTACGACCCAGCAACCAATATAGTTGTCTTCGCTTTTCTTCGAGTTGTTTACGCTTTTGGCAGATGTGTGTTTTCCACATGAGTTTTCGATCCAGGTGAAGTCCCAGGTATTTTACATTATCCTTGATGGGTAGCAAATTATGAAAGAGAGTCACTGGTGGGCATGTATGTTTCCTCAGTGCAAAGGTGACGTGAGCTGATTTTTGGTTGTTAACCTTGAATCTCCAGATGCTAAGCCAGTCTTGCAGTGTATCCAGGTTTGATTGTAGGAGGTGTGAAGCTAGAGCGGGATCTTCGTGGGCAGCTAGAATTGCCGTATCATCCGCAAATGTTGCTGTAATCGTATTAGTTGTAACGGGTAAGTCATGAGTATATAAAAGATACAGCAAGGGTCCAAGTACACTTCCTTGCGGGACACCGGAGCAGATAGGCCGAGTTGAAGAATTTTGATCACCTATGCTAATGAAAAAGGATCTGTTTAGTAGGTATGATTTAAGGAGAAGGAAGTATTGAGCAGGGAGTAAGGTTTTAATTTTAAAAAGAAGTCCAGTGTGCCAGACCTTGTCAAAGGCCTGGCTGACGTCAAGAAAAGCGGCAGAGCAATAGAGTTTATTTTGGAAGGAATTAGTTATATAGTTAACCACTCTGTGTATTTGCTCAATAGTGGAGTGCCCACTTAAGAAGCCGAATTGATGGGTGGGAAGGATAGAGGAAGACACCATTAGGTTTTTAATTTTGCTGTGGATTAGTTTTTCAAATATTTTGGAGAGTGAAGGGAGAAGGCTGATAGGCCTGTATGACTCAGGTAGAGTTGGGTCCTTGCCTGGTTTTGGTATAAGGATTATTTTTGCTGTCTTCCAGCAGTTAGGAAAGTGGAGAGTTCTAAGGATTCCATTAAAAAGTATAGTTATGTATCTATAAGCAATAGGAGGAAGTTCTTGTAAAGGTTTAATACTAATATTGTCGATTCCAGGAGATTTGCCGGATTTTGATGAACGGATTGTGCCTATGACTTCGGAGATACTGAATTTGAGTGGTGGTTCAGTCTGGCTGCTAGTTTTATCGGCTAATAAATTATGTATTGGGCGCTCCAGGAAAGGGTCACAAGTCGGTGGATGAGGTGTAAACACGTTCTCAAAGTGATCGGCGAAGAGATTGGCTTTATCTTGTGCGGTGCGAGCCCATAGTCCATTTTTATTAATAATAGGCGGATTGCTTTGTGTGGGACGTTTAAGTTTATTGGTAGCCCTCCAAAGAGATTTGTCAGTAGTAGAAAGGTTTATTAGAAAATTTTCCATTTTTTGATTGTGCCAGTCTGACAGTAGATGTTTGATTTCTCTAGAGGCTTTGTTTAGATTATGTTTATCGGCTGGAGATCTTGTACATTGCCAAATTTTGCGGAGTTTTCTCTTCTGGGCTATAAGTTTCTTGATGTAAATAGGACAAACAGGCGTAGTAAAAGTCTGGGATTTTGGAGTGGAAAAGGTTGCTGCTTCTGTAATTATTTTGTTGAAGTTGTACACTGCTGCTTCTATATCATCGTGGGTTTTTAGAGGAACGTTGCAATGTAAGCAATCAGCAATGTAATTCTGAAAGGTAAACCAGTTTGTGCTGTTATTTGTTAAGTACCTATTATTTAATTGGATAGGAGACAGGGAGTTATATGAAATGATGACTGGTGAGTGATCCGAAGAAAGATCAAGACTTGATTTAGCTGAAATGTGGTGAGGTTGAATGCCTTTTGTGATGCAGAAGTCGAGGAGGTCAGGTGTTTTGTATGTATCGCTGGGCCAGTAGGTTGGTTCGCCAGACGATACGTGTAGTAGATTATTGTCCAGGATAGAGAGATAAAGCTGCCGGCCTCGCGTAGTGGTTAGTCTTGAACCCCAGAAGATGTGTTTAGCGTTGTAGTCTCCACCTGCAATAAACTTGGGTCCCAAGAAGTTGAAGAAATTGTTGAATTGCTCACTCGAGATTTTATGTTTAGGAGGACAGTAGATTGCGGCTAGGATAAGTTTATTTGAAGGATGATCAATGGTAACGCAGCAGGCTTGAAGATAGTTTGTGCAATAGTGCTGCGATTCTTGATGTTTTATGTTTGATTTGATTAATATTGCACATCCACCGTGTGCGGTACCATCCGGATGATTGATTGTGTACGTCGAAAAACCGGGAAGTTTGAGATAGCTGCTGGAAGTAAAGTGTGTTTCTGAGATCAGAATAACATCCAAGCTGTGAAGCTGGATGAACATTTGCAATTCCCGTTTGTGTTGTGCCAAGCCGTTGGCATTCCAGACTGCAATTTGAAGGAAGTGTTGCATTACTTGAGTTTAGCTACGACGGCGGTTAATAAGTTCATGACTGTGTTTAATTGCTCCGCTAAAGTTTTAACTATAGATTTTAATTCTGTTATGTCGTTAGCTTGCTGATGATGGTTGATGGCTTCGGTATTGTTTATATCCTGTTGTAGTTGGCTATTTTGACGAGCAGTTACAGCGAATGAGATTCCGGGTTTAACTGTGTTTGAGGTGATAGGATTAGAGGAGGAAGGAGGATTTGTTTGTTTAGGACGCAGGGGAGGATATCTGCGAGAGTACATTTCCTGATAGACTTTGCATCCTTTGTAATTGGCAGTATGGCCTTCATTGCATAGGACACACTTTACGTTTTTATTGGTACGATCGGTCCAACTGCAGTCTTTTGTGAGATGATCGCCGGCACATTTCACGCAGCGCGGTTTCAGATTACAGTAAGTTCTAGTATGACCGTATCTTTGGCAATTAACACATTGGACTATTGATTTACTTGGATTCTTAGGCTCGATGTTCACTTTAGTTCGGCAAATAAATTCGATTTTGTAAATATCTTTGTTGTTGGGATTTTGTTCCAATTCGACAAGAAACATGTGCATAGGAGCCTTAGTAAACCTGTGTTTCATGTTAGTGATTCGCATTACTTTGTGACCATGAGTTGTTATTTCTGTGGCGATATCTTCAATTTCTGTGCTGGAGTGTAAGTTCCGAACGACGACCTTAAACGAACGTGCCGATTTGCACTGAAATGAATACATTTCGGTTTTTTTCTTTTAGTAATTTCAGAATTTTATTATAAGTTTCAGCGTCTGTGAGGGTGACTTTGACCTGCGTATTGTTGATTAATTGTATATTATATTTTCCTGGCGCATTTACACTTAATAATTCTGTGAGGGGCTTGATATTTTCGACACCATGAACAAAGATCGGTGGAGGTTTTGGAATAGGGGCAGCGGTATTCACTGTTTGTTCTGGCTGTATGTTATTTAAAACATTGTAGATATTGTTCGATGTTGAATGCAGCCAGTAGTTACTTTCTAGCTTTTTTGACACAGAATTACCTTCAGAGCTGCAGTCGGAATTATTTCTTTTATGTTTTCTGTTGTTAACCGTAGTCCAACCTTCCTTGGAAGTAGAGGGTATTGGCAGCGGTACATTACTGTCAGTTTCCATTACGTTAGTTTTATTATTAATTGTGGATTCTTGATTACACTCCGGTTGTACATTATTAACACAGTTCACTTGTTTTGCGACAAATTCAGAATTAGTTGTAGAAGTGTCATGTAAAATTTCAATGGATTTTGATGACGACAAGCGGTATAGCGAGCGATATACCTGAGTCCCCCGGCTGGGGACTCGCCATAGTTAATCCGGTCAACGAACAATACACTGGTGTGTTATGACTCACGCACTGTTAGATAACACTGATAAGAATTAAATATTTTTATTTGCGTGCCCGAAGTGACCTGTACGAAGGTTGAATTCGAACTGAGTGCCAAAAAAATTAAAAGTTGATTTTGCGGATGGAAAAGTTTTATTTGTAGATTTTTTATAAAATGTTAGGATTGTGTGTGTACGAAGTTGTAATTTGGATATGTTATTTTACAAAGTATCTATTTTAAGGACAAATTCTAAAATTGATGAATTTTTATCCCCATTTTAATATATTTATATTTTTGTCAGAAAAGTATCCGCGGCGAGCACACTAATTCTTTGAGCCAAAAAAAATTAAAAGTTGATTTTGCGGACGGCAAAATTTTATTTGTAGATTTTTTATAAAATGTTAGGATTGTGTTACAAAGTTGTAATTTAGATATGTTATTTTCCAAGGTATCTATTTTAAGCACAAACTCTAAAATTGATGATTTTTTATCCCCATTTTAATATATTTATATTTTTGTCAGAAAAGTACCCACAGCAGGCACACTATTTCTTAGTGCCAAAAAAATAAAAGTTGATTTTGGGGATGGCAAAGTTGGTTTTTCAGGATTTTTTATAAAATGTTAGGCTTGTGTTACAAAGTTGTAATTTAGGTATATTATTCTCTGATATATCTATTTTAAAGACAAATACTAAAATCACCAAATTTTTATCCCCAATTTCAAATATTTACATTAATCTCGGAAAAGTACTTTTAGCGAACATGCTAGTTTTTAAGGTAGACGAAATAGAAATTTTATTTTTAGGAACTTTTAAAAAATACATGGTTTGAGTTACAACCTTGTAATTTTGATATGTTATCCTTTAAAGTATCTATTTTAATGCCAAATACTAAAATTATTAAATTTTCACCCCCAATTTTAAATATTTACACATTAATTTCGGAAAAGTACTTTTATCGAGCGTAATAGTTTTGACGAAATAAAATTGAGACTTTTAGGATTTTTTTTAAAAATATACGGTTTGAGTTACGAGCTTGTAATTTTGATATGTTATCCTTTAAAGTATCTATTTTAATAACAAATTTTAAAATTAATAAATATTTATTCCCAATTTCAAATATTTACATTAATCTCGGAAAAGTACTTTTATCAAGCGTAATAGTTTATAGGGAACTTTGACGAAATAAAATTTTGATTTGTCTGTCGGGTCATCTAGTATATATATATATATATATATATATATATATATATATATATATAATGCCATCTCCTTACGAAATAATCTCAAGTTTTTTCTATATTTACTCAAAGAACCTCTCGTTTATATTTTTGTGTGATAAGAGGCACTTCGGTTATCGTCTGACGACCTCCTTCACCTTTCGGCGACAGAAAATGCTTTGATTTATCACAAAAAAAATTATATATATATATATATATATATACACTAGTTTTTTTAAAGATATAAATCAGTTTGATGTGATAAAACAAATCTAAATTGAACCAGATTCGAGATATTTTGTCTACGAATCGTCAATTTGATCTGAAGCAAAATTGTGAAATTGTGAAATTGCAAAATTACGATATTTTGTGGCGCAGATTAATATATAATATTAGATTTGTTGTAAAATTTATAACAAGACAAAATTTTCAAAAACAATATTAACAAAATTTTCAAAAGATACATATGTATTTCAATTTTGAACAATTTATTTCTTGATTCACGTATTGTAACTAGGTAAATGCTAAAATTAACAAATCATTATTAGTATTCAAGATATTCAATTTTTTTTAAAAAATCTTACTGAATTAAAAAATAGTAATATTTATTCACCTTGTTTATAATTATGAGTAATTAAATTTGTATATAAATCAAATTTTATAATTAGAACGAGGACAATTATATGTTTTTAAGATTTTTCGAATGGAACAAACTAGATAAATACGTTGAAAACAAATATATATATATATATATATATATATATATATATATATATACATATATGTTTTTAATGTATTTATCTAATTATTTTCTCGTATTTTAATCTAGACAAAACACGAGACAATCTCTAAAACAAAACGCATTCCAAATGCATCAAAAGGCATTTTAGTATCTCATTAATTTTAATTGCCTGTTTTCTGATAAACATAAAAAGCATTTCAAATACTCGATAAATCCGAACGTATTGTGATTGAAAACTAGTCAAAAATATTTGAAGAATTTGAAAAAGATAAATATTCATTTCACACGCATATATATACTAGCATTCCCGGCCGCGCTTTGCTGTGGCTTTCAGAAAAAAATGGATGAATGATCTCATAAATAGTCATTTGTAAACGCTAACATTATTATTATTATTATTATCTTATTATTTCTAATATTGTTATTTTGTTATATTTTATTGTTTTTCTAGTATTATTTTATTATTCAGAAATCTTATTTATATTATTTATTAATTTTATTTTTATTATTATTTGCTTTTATTTTATATTAAATCAACATACTACGGATATCATTTTAATGGAAATTCTCTCCTTTATTTTGTACTCGTTTCTATTTAAATTTATGTTATTGTTCATTATTATTACTAGATGTTAAATTATTTAACAGTTGTAATAAATATTGTAATTAAAAAAAACGATGGAAAATCAACAGTTTATTACTTAATTTAATTCATATTATTCAAGAAAATGAAGAAAAAAAATAATGCACATTATGTGAAGTTCGTTCGTCCGTCTCTATTAACACACCTCGCTCGTTTATTGTCTCTAATGACACTCTCTACAATATTTATCTCTACATGCCGCTATTTGTCTCTTACAATAATTGATCAGGTTATGTAATTTTTGAATCCATATATGACAGATGTCTGAATTTTGGTTTTTTAACTGAATTTTCTATAAATATCTGATTTTAGACATATCAAGTAAATATAGAAAAAACTTGAGATTATTTTGTAAGGATTTGTATTATTGTTCTTTTGACTGTAGATACCATAGTCTTCTAGATCATACTAAATTATTACGGCCCTACGACAACTCGTTTAGCTATAAAAATTCGTCAAAGTTTGCAAAAATACGGTTTTTTGGCATTTGTCAAAATTAGACCTTTGATCGACGTTTGCTCAAAAACGCCTGAACCGATTTCAGAAATTTAAAAGCCATTTAATATATCTCAATGAGGACTATCGTTTGTCAGTTTTGTGTGCCGTTTTTTTGTAATTTGGAAAAAAGTGTTAAACTTTTCGTCCACATTTAAGCTCATACTGCCGAATCGATTTTAAAAAATCAAAAACTGTTCGAAAGATATCATTTGGGAATGATACTGATTAGTTTTAGGTGAAAATCTAACAAGCCGTTTTCTTGTAATGAACTGTTGAAAAAAAATTTAAGCCGATTTTTATGGAACTTTTTTTGGCGATATATGTATCATGGTTTTGTAGAACTTACTGAAATATTACGGCCTTACGACAAGTAGTTTAATTTTAAAAATTCATCAAAATTTGAGAAAATGAGTAATTTTTTTGACGTTCGTTAAAATTAAAATTAGACGATTTACTTGGTATAACGATAGATTTTTAATGAACATACTAAACCATTAAAGTCCTAAGGAAATTGGTTCAATTACAAAAATTGTTGATTTGTGAAAATTTGCTTTTAGAAAATACTCCGAGTTAACGTGTTTGTTTGTTTTCAATTATGTGTAATAAATTCACTCGGAATACTTTTAATCACTCATAAATTAATTTATTTTTCATTGATTAGGTCGATTATTTAAACATCTTGTTTTTTTTTTAATTTTTCAGGAGCTGCCATGCTATGGAACAACATGCTCCAGCCGATCACCCAAAAATCGAGATCGATGAACCAAACGGTGCCCTACGATACTGCCAAAGGTCTAATTGGCAGCCTAATGTGTCCAACTAAGGACAGACCTTATATTTTCACTTCGAAAAATTCCAGAAGTTATTTTTACAATGGAAGACAGTGACGTGTAGTGATTTGGATGAAAGGATTAACTAAGTGAAGGTACTGTTTGTGTTTGTGTTTGTGTCATTTGTTTGTGATGTCCTAATTTTGTGTCATTGTGTTCGTTTTAAATATATGTTTAATTTGTATTTGTTTTATTCATTTAAAATATTATCTATAACTAGATGACCCGACAGACGTTGTTCTGTACCCATGTCTACATTTTTTTAATATAATATACTAATATTTACCGTTTACCTAAAATTAATAATTATTGTTTTTTTAAATTACTCTTCACGCCAAAATGCATATACATTTATAATATGAGCGATGTTAAATGTAGAACTGCTTTAAATAAAATGATGAGTCTCAATTCCCACACTATATTGGAAATTGAAGTCTTTTAAACGGTATAACATAACCATAACCATAACATAACACTGGTACTTCATGTTGGATTAAATTAATTTAATTTTTTATTATTTAAGATATCCAAAATTGCATCTTAAACTTCTCCTAATCGATATCGTGAGGGCCGAATTGTATGTATTCATCTTTACTTTCCCATTTGTTGTTATAAAGTGAAATTTTTACGAATTTTAAAAATATTGTGGAAAGGTTAGTAAAAGATGCAAAGAAAATATATATTGAAAAAAAAACACTATATTGAAAATTTAATATCCAAATTTTGTGTCGGTGCCCCCTAAGACGTGCGCTCGTATTTTTCGCATGCATCGCATTAAAGGTAGCACCGGCCCTGATTAATACTTAATTTCATATTTTAAGTGAATTAATTTGTCACATCCTGTTCATACGTGTATCATTCAATCTGCCATACATATACTATATTTTTATAATATTTTAATTTCTTATTTATAATCATGAATTTATTATACATATTCTAATATTGTCTGGGTTCATAAGTAAATTAAATGCAATGTTTTCAATGCAAACAATGACATGTCGTTTTTCACAATTTTTTCCATTTATTTCTACAATATTGCACATACTTCCCAGTACTTTATAATCACATACATCCTAGAATTTTTTTTTAACAAACTTCAGAAAGATTTATCAAAATCCGCATAATCGTTTAGATGGAGTATACAAGTGAGTGCTTGTAATTTAATATGAACTTTATATAATAGCAATAATGCTCAAATTGATTCTACGTTTTAGTTAGAAAACGTTTGTGTGAGAAAAAGGAAAGGGCTGTTTTTAGGGTTTTTCCGGCAATTATTCGTTTTTTTCTCGCCGTAAGAACCATCCTTGGACTTCAACGAACATTTTAAAAAATAATTGGCCAAATCGGTGCAGGCGTTGTTGAGTTATGCGCTTACCGACACATTTTGCGATTTAGATATTATAAGTCTTCCAATAGTGTTTATCAATCAGAATAAAATTATAAATAGTTGTCGATCGAATCGTCTTTTTCTGGATGTCTCCTGACTTATGAATGTTAATACTAACATTTAAACAGATGGTATGTTCTCAAAAATGCATGTTGCGATTTTGATGAAACTTGACACACATTGTTACTATACCTTACCAAAAATGTGACCAAAATTTAAAGTTGATGGGTCGCTGGCTCCGGGCTCAATATTTTATTCTTAAGCAATAAATATAGAAAATTCGGGACAATTTTTTGGTTTTTGTCAAATAACTCAAAAATTTCATATGGAACAACCCCTTTTCAGTTGGATAGGATGAAACTAGATAAAATTTACATTTCCTAGGAAACACTTTTATACACTTTGATATAAAAGTTTCGAATAAAACGACTTTGAATTCGATATTTTTGGACTTTTGGATTTCTAAGACTCTGGATACTTAGATTGTTGTGAACCTTTCGTTTTGGATTTCTATAAAACCAAATTTTCAGATTTTTGGAGAATTAAATTTCTGGGTATCTGGAAATGTGGATAATTCATATCTACACGCGATTGAAGTAAAACTTATTTGCTACTGTACAAGATGGCATTTAAGTAAAAATAAATAAATCCTAAAACAATTTTGAATAATGTTTATTAGTAATATGGTAACACTCGTGATGCACACATTTATTAGTGTCGACCGTTATACACATTTATATAATGACAAATTACAAACTATATATTTATAATGACATTAAAAATATGTATAATATTTTAAAAAAATAACGTAATTAAAGTCATGCTTCGGATATGACATGATCGGTTTGTCATTGTAATTTGCATTTAGAAATGAACCTTCATTAGAGAAATGAAGTAATTGCTGATTAATAAATTTTATAATATTCGTTCACCAAATATTGTTTTCGAAACTTCACTCAACATGTAATAATTGTGTTTGAAGAACTTCATGTAATTAAAATTAACATACATTCATTGAATGCTTGTATTTGTTTTCACTTTTTCGCTGGAGATATAATCTCATTCTTTGAACAACTGTAATATCTGTTTTGCCAAAAAAATATTTTCCATTTTAATAACTTCAAAGATTTATAGAAACTACGAATAATATAGAAATAATTTCTAATCAATAAACTTACGTTTCGTACACGGCACAAATATTTAATTTGTTTAATTATTTTTATGGAACAGGCTAAAATATTCTTCTGATTCAGGCATTTTTCATTAAATCAAGATTTGTCCTACGATATAACTTTAAAATGTTTATTTATCTATGCCGATTTCCTCGTTGATATCGGTACACATTCAACGTTGATGCCGTTACGCATACAACGACAGATCTCTATTCACATACACGACGACTAATCACAATCGACCCGTATAGAAATGATATCATCGAGAGCGAATGACGAATCATTGGCACTCGACTCTGCCGTAACGCACTTCCGTTGCATTAGTACGGATTTACACCTTAGTCGCGCCTAAAGAAGTTCTACTTAAAAAATCTACCACAATTGAATAAAAATCTGATAATTTTTAAACTAAATTTGATAAAATCTTGTATTTTAGTGCACTGTTATGTGAACTAATGATCAATTCACACAAAAAATAGTTTTTGCGCGAGATCTTACACCAATTATTTAAAAAAAATCTTATCTTGACCTTATAACAGTTTCAGTATTTGATATCTGGTATGGCAACAGATCAAAAAGACGAAATATGTATTGTATGTCGTTTTTTTCTACTTTTGACATTTTCTAATCAGAAGTGACGGATGTTATAAAACTTTGAGATAAAATTCAGCTCATTTTACATATTTTAGTGACAGCTACTGTTTTTTATGCTGATTTTGTGATGGCGTGATATGTAAGGGTCAGATGGTACTGTAAATATTTGAAATTGGGCTATTTTTGGGTTTGATGGCTGATAACGATTTATTTATTTTATAATTGAAATAGATTAGTTTTAGTAATTATTAACTAGCAGATTGTTTATTTATATTTGAACTAGTGGTGTGTATGGCATCGTGCCTTAAGGCAAATTGCTGGAACTTCCCGTACCGTAAAGAAATATTTGAGAAATTTTAAACGTTTTCAAATATATTATTACAAATACTGTAATTGTTTCATTATTTTTGCTATCTTGTTATATCTGAGCAAATCAAATGTAAATCATAAATCATAAATCAATTTATCTCCAGAACATTAACAATCGTCATTTCATTTCGAATTCAATTTAAAAAAAAAAGTAGTTGCCTAATTTACACAAAATTGAAAAAAGTGCTCCAGTATAGTCACAGTCTTAAACGCATTTGCAAATAATTCTGTGCGACATTTTCACTTATACTGTGCTTAGCTTGGCGGCATTTTCACATTTTTCTAATAGTTTTCACAAAATTGGAAAAGTGCTTCAGTAAATAAACAGTCTAAACGCACTTGGCGTTTTTATTTGTACCAGAGTGGCGCTTAGACTGTGCTTAGCCTGGGTAATTTTTTGAATTTTTAATCCAAAATTACGAAAATATTTTATCGAAAAAAATTAGAAACAGAATATTTTTTTCAAAAGCAATTATTTTGTTGAAACAAGCAGAAATTCTTTGAATCACTTAAGTCGGACGCTTAGTTCTCTCAAAAACTGCCATTTTTTGCACATTTAGCTCTGTATTTTCGAAATGGCAGGACCAGCCTTTGCCAAAAACTAATCATTACTTCTCCCCATCATTACGAATTGAATGCTTGTTAGATCATTCAAATCCGATACTCCGTTCTCTCAAAAACTCGATTCCTATTTCCTGCACTCTTTGCTCCGTATCTCCGTAACGGCTGGACCCGCCTTTGCCAAAAACTAATCAGCACATCTCCCTATCAATAGGGATCGAATGTTTTTTAAATCATTCAAATCGGTTGATCCGTGCGCCCGAAAACGTGACTGGAAATTTGTATCCATACATACATACACACACACATACATCCATTTAGTTTCTGAGGTATGCCAGTAAAATGTTCAGAAACCTTCAAAACGTCGAGAAATGCAAAAATTTTAATTTTTAATTTTCGGCTCATTACTATAACTACCCTCCGGGAAGTTAAAAATAAAATTAATTAATTTTAATATATCATTCCATTCAAAAATATTAAGTTCCTTGTATTCAGCTTTAAATATATTTTATATTTTTATTTATTTGAATCTTGTTTACGAGTTTAGTTTGGGTTTTTCTTTTTTGGTGCGAATTAACCGCAAAGGAAACATTTGTTGAAGTTTTAGATTTATTTGCGGTTTTGTTTTGGAAATTTGCTTAAAACTTGTTGGAGTAAACAAAAATCTTTCCTTGAGGTCAATGAAATAAATAAGAGATATCCAAAATCCAAATCTAAAATTGAGATCCATTTTACTAATTATAATTTAAATTTTATACTTGAACTTTTTGTAACAAAAATTGTAATTGTAACATGTTCTTATTAATACGGATACTGAATGATCTTGAATCTTTCTCAAAAACTTGTTTTAGTATTTTATTATCACTTTTTACAACAAATTCTTCAATTCAACAATTGATTTATTGGAAATTCCTGAATTATTTCAAACGCCTCTAAATATATTTCTCTTCGGGCAGGTCATAATTTTTTC